GAGAGTCCGAATGCTGATCAGCAGGCAGCCTATGATAACAAGATGCAGAAGCGAGCAGGTTTGATCCAGCAGAGGAAAGACAATCGAAACATTGTGTAGTACCACCTCATTCTGGTGCTCAACAACACCACTTTGATGTACATACAGCACGACTGCGTGGGAACAGATGGCTCTGGCGATGGGACGAAGGCTTGGAAGCTGCTTCAAGAGAAGTTTTGCAGTGTAGAGATGCCGACAGCGGTCAGTCTAGTAGGTCAGCTTACGAAGCTGCGCCTAGTATCAGAAGAGGATCTGGACGACCACTTCAATCGCAGTCAAGAGCTGTTCAATGCTTTGGTGATCAATGGGCTGCCTGACAGCTAAGAGCATTTTGTGGTGAAAGAGAGCTTTCAACCAGCCAAGACGTTTCCAGAGCTGAGAACGAAGTTGAGAAACTACGATGACTCGAGGAAGGCCCGATGTTGAGAGAGGACTGGACATGGTCATATAGCCATGCAAGCTGTGAGGAAAAAGAAAGGAGTGTCAAGTTGTGGCTGCTATGTGTGCGGTCAGAAGGGTCATATGGCGAGGTACTGAAAATCCAAAAGCAACAGCGGACAATCCGGTGCTCGAGGCAATGGGTCGAACGAAGCAAAGGGACCAGGAGCAAAGTAGCAAGGGTGCTTTAAGTGTGAGCAACCTGGACATTTTGCAAGGGAGTGCAAGTAGGGGAGGACAGGTTTCTTCTGTTGTTGTGCTGCAACTTCAATGAAGGGAGACGACCTCATTGTGGATAGGGATGCACTGATCATGCGGTGCGCGACAGGGCTGTCTTTTCTAGCTTTGAGAGCTGGAACGAAGGGACAACTGGGGAAAACCCCAACGGCACGCTGTCAAGGATTGAGGGCAAAGGATTAGTGGAAGTGGAGATCAGTGACTGCCAAGATGCTGTGAGGAGCTACACTTTTCACAATGTGCTGTTTGTGCCGATCTACAGTGTGAACTTGATGAGTGTGAGCTGAGCTGTGGCTAGAGGCTCAAGTTTCAGTTTCGCCGCAAATGCGTCACATCTACTGGCACCAGATGGGGGACAGCTACCTGTGAAGCAGCGCGGCAAGCTTTTCTTTCTTGAGTGCAAGTTCAACAGAAACCCGATGACTCTAGAGACGAAAACAAGGAGGGATACCAGTGATGCAATGTTGTGGTACCGACAACGGGGGCACCTCAACCAGAAGGATCTTTCATCGCTTGTCAATGTGGGCGATCTAGAGTTCTGTGAAGTGTGTACAGCTTCTAAGATGCATGAAGTAGCAGTGCCTAAGAAGACTGACAGCAGAGCATCGGCAGTGGGGCAACGGGTCTACAGTGACATTCAGGGACCAATTGAAGTAACGAGTATGCATGATGCACGCTATGCCTTGATATTCATCGACGACTTCAGTCGGCTGGCTGTGGGTCAACTACCTGGTGAAGAAGAGTGATGCTCTACTGAAGTTCCAGGAGTTTGTGGCTGAGCATGGAGCAGCGAAGTGCCTGCGAACTGACAATGGAAGTGACTGTTCATCAAATGCATTTAAGAGATTTTGTAGAGAATTCCAGGTGAAGCAAGAGTTCACTGTGCGAAATACTCCCCAACAGAATGGTGAAGCAGAGCGCTACAACAGAGTGATCACCGAGATGACTCGATGTCTGCTGGCCGAAGCAAAGCTATCGAATATGTTTTGGGTGTGAGCAATGTCGACAGCTGTGAGGGGTCGCAACTTTTGTCCCACATCCAGCAACGAGAAGCGCCTTTCACCGACAGGGGTGCACTATGGGCAACCATCAAAATTGAGCTATTTGCGTGTGTTCGGTTGCCTGGCGTACTGTCTGGATCGAGGCATCAGACGGAAACGGGATCCAAAGGGCAAGAGAAGCAAGTTCATCGGCTACGACGAGGAGAGCAAAGCCTACCTGCTGATGGATCTAGAGACAAGACGAGTGGTGCGAGCAAGAAGCGTGACATTCAATGAGAACATCATTCCAGATGACTTCATGGTTGACAGTGAGCCATTACAAAAACGAGCTATCAATTGAGGGGTGCATTGATATTGAGCAACCAAGCAGGACAAAAACCAGCGAAGCACGAAGCGCGCCAATTGAGGGTGATACCGCAGATTCAGTGGGGGCTACTGAAAAAATTCAGGTCGAGGAGGAAGCATTAGATTCACATTCTACTGATCATCCAGTGCAGAGGTCCGTTAGGACAAGGAACCCACCCATTCGATACGGAGTGGCCTATACCCATGCTTCAGTGACTGGAATTCAAGAGCCAAGGGGTTTTTCACAAGCAGTGTTTGGACCTGAAAATGAGCAGTGGATGGCAGCAATGGCTTTAGAGGTGAAGTCTCTAGAAGCCATGGAACATGGACACTTGTTGATAGACCACAATCTCGAAAAGTTGTACTGGACGATGGGTTCTTGCTGTAAAGAGAGATGCGATGGGACAAGTGGGGTGGTTCAAAGCCCGATGTGTAATGAAAAGGAAAAATGCAAGTGGAAGGACTTGATTTCAATGAGACGTTTGCTCCAACTTGTAAGCCCTAAACAAAGGGGATACTGCTGGCTCTGGGGGCACAAGATGACCTTGTACTTCATCAGATGGATGTTAAGTCAGCCTTCCTCAACTCTCATCTAGCAGAGACAGTGTACATGGAGCAGCCAGAGGTATTCAACAGCGGTGACAGCCAAGTGTGCTTGCTACAACGAAGTCTCTACGGGCTGCGGCAGTCAGGAAGAGACTGGTATCAGACGCTGAACACTTTCCTACTTGATGAAGGGCTCACTAGAAGCAGCAACGAATTCTGTTTGTTCACGATTAGGGGAACAAACGATGCAATGATTTATGTGCTGGTTTAGGTAGATGACATCATCAATCATCAATGGGTGCAGATGTCAAGAAGAAGTTGACAAGCTGAGGAGCCGTTTCTCCGAACGATTCAAGATGGATGACAGAGGCGCATTGTCCTGGTTCCTGGGAATGCAGGTCAAGCAGTCACCTGGGACGGTAAAAGTAAATCAATCTCGCTACATCGGGGACTGCATGGAGCATTTTGGCCTTGCTCAATGCAAACCAGTGGGCACACCAGCGGGCATCAGCGCACAGCTGTCGAAAAACGGCTGCCCTGAAGCTGGATCAGCAGAGGCAGTATCCATGAATGCTGAGGACTACAGAGGCATTGTGTGCTCATTGTACATAGCTAAGCAAACAAGGCCTGATATCCTAGCTACTGTGACGCAACTCCGGGAAGGGTGCACTGGGTGGCTGCAAAGAGGGTTCTTCGTTACCTGAAGGGGAGCAAAGATTTGGAGCTGTGCTACACTACGGAAGCTGGTGGTGTTAAACTCTATGGATCAGCAGATGCTGACTGGGCTAGAGATTTGGATGTTAGAGGGTCAACTACAGGCTACAGCTTTCATTTGCAGAAGGCAGGGCAGCAATTAGTTGGAGCAACAAGAAGCAACCAACTGCAGCCATTTCTACCAATGAGGCTGAGTACCAAGCAATGGCAGCAGCGGTTCAAGAGGCTCTATATCTGCGATCTATTCTCGATGAGAAGGGCGTAGTTATTGACGGACCAACTGCCATCAAGGAGGCCAACCAGAGCTGTATCAAGATGTGCAAGAATCATGTGATGCAGAAGCGAACGAAACACATCGATGTGAAATACCACTTTGTTCGAGAAAGAGTGGGAGCTGAGACAGTTGAACTCCAATATTACCCTACTGAGTTCATGGAAGCTGACTTTTTGACAAAGCCCTGAGCAAGGCTAAGATGGAACAGCATCGTCGAACTTTGATGGGTTGCAGCGTGACATTGGACAAAGCCAATTCAGCCTGAGTGGGGATGTTGAGGTCAGACCATCTCAAGGTCAGACCGATTAATTGAATCATAATCAAAACTGATTAAACTCAGACAAGGTCAACTAGTGATCTCAAATTAATTAATTAGTCTGTAATTAATAAACTGGTACTTTTCTGATGCTTAGTTTGTCTTGTCATTTACATTCACTTCTTTCAATTCATTCTTCAACAATCACTACCTCTTCTGATTTCTCAGTTCAAACCTCAGATTCTATCTCAGTCTCTAACCCCAGCTCTTAATCCTAGTTGCTCTAACTCTGAATCTTATCACAAAGAAAGCTAGCAAGGAGTCAAGGATGTTATGATATATGTATCCTTTTATGCTAAAACGCTTCCATTATTGCTCTGATTTTCAATATATACTGCAAAATTAAGAATTCAACCCTCTTTTGCAGTTTCATTTTCAAAAAAGAGCTGCAAAGATATTGCATGACAATTAAAAAAAATGTGTTATCTAAGACTTACAATTTTTTTCGAGTTTTTGATTTTCATTTTGAAAACAAGCATGGTTTGAATAATTCGTGCCATTTGTCGGTTACCTAGAAAACTATGCTCCTTAGTCGTAGAGGAAAAGATAACAAAAACAAATTTAAAGGATTCAACGACTTCCAGGAGCTGAGCTTTTTTTTTTACTTTTTGAGCCAAACAGTCCGTTTTTGACCCTCGTGGTCGAATCTTGACAGCGTTGGACTTTTTACGGCCTTATTCCACTTTGACTGACATTTTTTATCTTTGTTAGACTCTGCCAAACATCGGTTGAACTTATCCGTACTCACCGGATGCTTTTTACTCTAAATTTCGACGCCGTGTTGATCTGTTTCGATTTTGTGTTCGACATATTAAATCGACGACCGACTCGTTTTAGCTCCGACTTTAAATTTGTATAGGGCATTCTCCACCAGGGATTTTAGGTCGAGCTCTAACATGTAATGGGCCCACCTCGGTCGAGACAAAAAACGCAAGCTTCAACTTGACTAACCATAGAAATGTGCTGCAGAAAAGCCTTCCCTTGTTTTTTTTTATAATTTTCCACCTCCAATGCGCCACATTTTTGTCCTGCTGGGAAGAATTAAGCTAATTATAATCAAATTTTGCTTTACACATGCTATTTCTTCGACAAACGGCAATCGAAAAACTAATTTCTAATTACAGTAAAATACAGTAGCAACTAAAGCTAAAATATTGTAGCATTTTGGTCGAAATATAATGAACTTAGCAAGCTTTTAGAAAATATTAAACATAAAATATTGAGACTAAGTAGATTTCATTCAGTATATTTTGCATAACAGTGAAGAAAATATTTACGAGTTCAGTAGATTTATCATTAGGAATTATAGTTTACGGAATTGAAGTTCTCAAATTGTTACTTTGTCAGCTGAATGCAAACCCATTTATTGACATATGGCAGAACAGGTGTCCGGCATGTAAGACGACTGAAGTTAAGACGACAACCGTTTTTAGTGAAATTTTAAGACGACGCTACACGCATTTCTCCACATTTTATTTCTAAGAAATAAACCGCTTATTCAAACAGTTCATTTTAAAGGTTTTAACGCTCATTTGTCGTCTTAATGTCGTGTCATCTTAGTATCTTGTCGTCTTATTTACCTAGCATCAGCAGAATCGTCTTCTTCACAGATTGCAGAGCGAATGATTTGCAGACATATTTTCAGACTGACTTTTTTCGGGCAGTATAAAACAAGATTGTGACCATTTTTGGCAAATCGGCGGCGATTTTAAACATCGAATCAAGAGTACATCAATAGTGTAGACTAGCATAATTATGATGAGAAAAGACTGAATCACTCAATAAATCGATGCAAAATAGTTCCTTGGAGTAAAAGTTCGCCCCCGAGTAATTCGCCGTTTAGTTTTCGGTCTGTCGAATTAGAAAAAAAGCATCTGGCGATCAGTTTTTTAAGCAGACGAGTTCATAACCCGCGGGTGGATCTCGTCGGGTGTCGCAATTTGGACGCTCGGCGGGGGAGTGATTTCGGTGTCTGCGAAGTTTGATAAACTGGGGAGGTTGCCGCCGCCGCCATCCAGACGTGCCAGCTGTGTGCAAGCTGTGTCGTTGCGGGGGACATTGTTGGTTGCTTGGCGGAAGTGGAGACAGTTTCTGATGCATTGAAAGATGGAGGGACAGTATTTGTTCAGCAGACGGTGGAAACCCTGTTAAATTGCGCAAAAAATTATCATGAAAAATCCTTAACCAGTCAATATTTCAAAAAAAAAGATTTCGGCGCTTCTGCCAAAAAATACTTTGATCCGCTGCGTATGACTAAGAAAAGACTGTACAGCTGCATTTTGAGTACATAACTCGGCTAAAAAAGGTATTCGACAAGATTTTTTTTGGGTCGCGGACCTCCACCTGTAATTACTTATGATATATGCTATATCTACAATCTACATAACTTTTATTCAAGATGATTGTAAGTAAATTAAAGATATCGTTGATCGCATTCACCTTAAGCTCAAAAACATTACGAGGCCAAACTGTGCACGGGATAGGCTGATTGACTGTCCGAGTTGAGAGTTGATCTATTCTACTTCTAAAGATAACCAGGTTTTGTCAAAAAAAAAAATTTTGTTATCCTTAGGAGCGTATATAATTTTCAATAATCAACAAGTGGACTGACCTGCACGTCTCTCAGATAACACAGAAAAAAATGCAATTCTCGGGAAAAAAACTTAATATGCCAAAGCATTCTTCTATAGGAAAAAGATTTGTTAATGAAACTCAACTCAAAGATTGATACAGTAAGGGCCGGAACAAAAGGGGGAAGCCTTCTATCACGTTAGCAAAATTTATGTATGTTAGACAAAATGCCTGCTAGTAATATAGGGTCTTTTCTACTTTCTATCTTAGAAAGTAAATCTAAAATTCGCTGAAAAAATTAATTAGAAAAGAACTTTGTATGAATTTACTACAAGTGGCCTTAGACTCCATATTAAGTTTTAAGGGTTGGATTGAAAATGTTTTGTTGAAGTTTTGAGAGAAAATGGTTGTTTTTTTAGGATCGAAAGGTTGGTGTTTTTAGAGAAAAAGGTTGGAAAGAATCTCAGTAGTTTTCACCCTCTATTGGGAAATCTCTCAATTTGTCGTAACAAATGAGAGGTTAGTTTTCAACTTCGTTTTCTCTCGTGATAGTCATTCGTACATTCGTAATTTACGAGTGGAGTCGTTCATACATTCGTATTTTACGAGAAGAGTCGTTTTTATTCCCAATACTTTAAACGTTATACGAGTTATTCCAAATACCTCAAGCATTGGTTTCCATTCATTTTACAAAGGGGTATAAACAGATTGATTTTATGATGGCGGCGGCGTCACGCTTTGTGAGCACAATAAATTCTATATTTCTGTTTCAATATGAAACTAGAACACTTCCCTTTAGGGATTCGACCAACTCGCCAACAAAGGGTTAGCCTTTTCCCTTTTGTATTATTTAATGACACCCATTTTCGACCGACCACTCCTAAAGTTTTATGCAGGGTCTTTATAGTGCTCTGTGAGCGCTCGGAAAATCAATTTTTTTAAACCCCCCCCCCCCCCTCGAGAAAATCTAGGTACGCCCCTGGGTGCATATCAATTAGTACTATTGCTATTCGCATGACTAATGCCCCGTTACCTGCTTGAACTTGGAATTCATGCGGTAGAAAATGGCGCAGTTGAGGAGACTCTGAGCCATGATGAGCCAAGTGGCTAGCTTGTATGACCACAGGGGAGGCAGTTTCGGCTCCCTTTCCGTCTGCAGCTGATCGTTGATGTACCTACGCAAAAATGTTGCAGATAAAATAAAAAGCAATACATTTTTTCCAGTATAGTTCCAGATTTGATCATTAAATATCATTTATATAAGAAAATATTAAGAACCCAGTCTGACAGATTGCCATAACACATATAATATCTGTTTTCAGACGCTTGTATTTCGGTTTTTTCCGAATATTTAAAAAGATCCCACTTTGGGACATACCTGTCCATGAGCATGTAAGGTAGGAATCCCAAGAAGTAAACCAGGGTGACGATGAACAGCATCCTGCATGCTTTGATGTGGGACAGGAACTGGAGTCCACTGGCGACTGAGCCCCGCCTCGCAGCCATCGAGGTCAGCTGCGCCTGCATTCGTCTGATCTCCTGCATTGTACAGAAAACAATCATAACTCTCATTACTTCTATATGACTGCAATTTTTAAAAATTCAACACACAAAGCATAAACAAGACACAAAACGTGCCAATGTTCGAAAGAAAAAATAACTTCATGAACCGCTGCAATCCAATTGTTTCATAAATTAAAAAACTGGTTCCAAGAAAAGTAAAAAACGAGACTCTCCAAGGAACTTATCAATCATGAGGCTTATTTGAGAAGTTTATGATTTATTAAGGTTGACTTTGACAATCGCAACCAAGGCGAAGAAATTCTTGCAACTCAATGAGCAAATGACAGCCAAAACTAGTATTAATTTCGAAAGTTTGAAATAAAAATTAGATAAAATCAATTTTTGTGATCAATAGACTTTATAAAGGGTCTTTATAAAACTCTGCGTGCGCTCGAAAAATCAATTTGTTTGACGTAGAAAAAAGTCGACTACATTTAAAAAAAGAATCGACAAAAAATCATTGTGACTATGAAATTCAAGCTATAATGCTTAGAGGCTGAAGAAAGCATTATAGCTTGAATTTCAAAGTCACAATGATTTTTTATCGATTTTGATTCTGAGGGGATTTGATTTTTCCTCGAACTAATTTTGAGGGGGGGGGGGCAACAAAAAACGCAATTTTTTGGTCAATCAGTGCCTAAAAACGCCTATTTTGGCCTATTTTTTCAAAAAGTTTTCGTTTTTATAGTGATTTGAGAGAGCTCGGAAAATGATTTTGGTCGACCAAAAAAGGTCGACAAAACTTTTAGAATTTCTGAAAATCCGCCATCCACCCATCCGATGGGTTTTGATCCCTGGCTACCCAAAGAATCCCAATATGGTACTAATTTACAACATTCACTTTCGGCCGAACGAACTTTTTTTTACAAGCTCTTTTTTGAAGGGCATGCGCTTGCCAGCAAAATTGAATTTGTAAAAAACTTTCCCAACAAATTTTACGAGGCCAAACTGTGCACGATGGGCCCACAATTTTGTGTCTGTATGTTCCTGGATTCCAAAAACCAATCTTTAAACATGTTCCCTTTAGAAAACTTCTGTGAATTCCGCGTTCTATGAGTGTAACGTAAATTTTATCGGTACATTTGTTGTGTCGTGGATTCCGCAACAAGCGAAAATAGCTAATTGTTTTGGATTCCGCAAAATGTAAGCGGAATGTTAGCGGATTCCGCAAACTGTAAGTGGATTCCGAATTTTGCTCAATACTGAACATGCAAATGAACAACTAAAAGCTAGAGCTGGATTTCCTATCTCTAGCAATGCGGAATTTGAAACCAAGGATTTAACCATTGTCAGCGGAATCCACGAACAAGTCTTAAAACATTGGTTACCTAAATCGGTGGATAACATCTTTTAGTATCTTGGAAACACAACACGGAATAATTTCAATATATGGAGTCCTTGAGTTGAGAGTGTATGGAAATACAACACCCAGCATATTGCCAAATTAGGTTAGTATTTGGGATTAGGTCAATTCCAAATACTGATTTTGAAAGCATAACGCCGAATAAATTCAGAAACTGTAGTCATTGGGTTGAGAGTGTATGGAAACACAATTCACAGCATATCGCCAAATTCCATCGATCCCAAATACTGGTCAGTATTTATGATTGATGGAATCTCAATAACTGAAATAATATGGAATAAATATGGAATAAAATCATTATTTGGAGTCACTAGGTTGAGAGTGATTAGAAACCCAACGCATAGCAAATCGTCGAATTATTTCAGTATTTGGAATTTCATCGATCCCAAATACTGGTCAGTAATTGGGTTTTCATTAATCCCAAACACTGATCTAGTATACTCCTAATCTACTGAAATCAAATCATGTAATTAAAAGATATAATTTTAAACGCTACTACATATATACATAAACGTAAACGGAATCCGCAAAAAAAAAATGCGGATTCCACTTACAATTTGCGGTTTCAACTTACACTTGTCGGATTTCGCTTACAGTTGCGGATTCCGCAACAGCTCAATTTAACTAGTTTGTTTGTGGACTCCACAAACTGTTTTGGATTCCGCAAATATGGTTGCTGATTCCGCAAATTTGTCTATTTTTGAAGCGATTTTGAGCGCAACAGTGTTTTGACTATTTGCTTGTGGAATCCATAACAGCATAGAAGATCAAAGAAAAGTAGCATTGATGTGGATTCCGCGACAAATCTGATTTTGGCCTGTTGTGGAATCCGCATACAATGCACAGAATGCACAGTTTGGCCTCGTAATGAATGCTCAAAAACAGGTCTTTTGGCTTTTCTGTCAAAATTTTGCCTCTGCCAGGAAAAAGTTTCTAAACTAGGACGAACTTCTTAGTGTTTAGCTCTGCAAATGCACCAGTAAAGCATATTTTTAAATGTCAATTAACTTGATTTATTAGTTCCTGCAATAAATCAATGCATATTTTCTGCAAGTTGTACAGCAACCACTTATTTTTTTTGTTACTCGGCCAAATGCCAGAGATAATAATACGAGCTCTTCGGTCTAGCTCACTCACCTGTCGCTGTTTGACGACAACGATGAATATGACTCCGTAGCAGACGAGTACCACTGCCCCTGGAAGGACGAAGAACAACATGGCCAAGTGAGGGGTCACTTCTCCGTAGCAGGCCACGAACTGCAGGTGGGTCAACTCATCGTAGTACAGCATGCTCTAGTGAAGAAAAAGAAACAGATGTGAAAACATTTCTGAATCCGTGAAAAAGGAAACGAGACAAAAATGAGAGAAAGAAAACCACTCTAATATTAGAAAAAACTGTCATTGGATCTTGCAATGGATCTTGTCATACCAATAATTTCATAACTAGCAGAGGATTAAGGAGGGGGGTCATTTTTGGCCACCCAAAGGCTCTACTTTTCAGAAATATTTTTACAGACTTTTTTTAGCCTAAAATTTTTATACAGGCACCTTTGGCGCCAATATATACTAAAATTGAGGCGGAGTGCGCGTCAAAAAAGTTACATCTTTGGTCAAAACATTCCAAAAAGTCCCCACAAAATGTTTATTTTTATCAAAATATCGTCTTTATAGCGTTTTAGAAGAGCTCGTAATATCAATTTGATCAAAAAATTTTTTGATTTTTTTTGACGTTTTTTACCACCCCCTTGGAAAAATTCATCCAACCTGTTCATGAGAATCTTGCTAAAATCATATCAATAGTGTTTAACATTGTAACTAACCAGTTGTTGGCCGCCTGCCTGTTTGACCTTCTGGGTGTAAGAGTAGGATGCGTAGGTGAGATAGAGGACGAAGAGGAGACTTACGAGAAGCATGCTCACAAACACCACCAGAATCCTCCGAGGGGTAGAGATCAGAGGGTAGTGCAGGGGCTTCAAGATCGAAATACACTACACAACACAAGCAGCCGTTTTCTTTTAATAACCTCATTGTAGAGAAGGGAACACCCTAGTCGATCAAGGGTTATCTTGCAATATCCAGCAAGAATCTTGCAAGATTGTTTTGAAGAGGATGCATCTCTTTCAAAGATCTTGCAAGATTCTTGCAAGATCTTGCAAGATAACCTCCTTTAAAGATAACCTTTTTTTGAAGATTTTTAAAGATATAATTAAAGATATAGTTTGCTTATTTCGACAATTGAAATATTTTTTCTTAAAAAGTTGATTCCTTCCTGGAAGAACCCCAAAAGGGTGCCTATCTTCTTTTTCTACATGCGGCTAGAAAGATCAGAAAAAAACTTCATCGATAGAACCTCGCTGTTAAAATTTTAAGCGTTTGCAGCTGTGTATTAGCATAAAACGTAAACTTACGGTTCTTTAAATATGTTTGTATAGAAGGATTTTAAAAGAATGATAAGAAAAAACAAAAGCGTCTAATAGTTTTTTTTTGCACCGAAGACAATTTGGAGCTTCTTAGCTTTTACAAACATCTGTTTCTGCCTATCGAAACTAAAACTTTTTCATGGCGCTTTTGGCATCAATATGTAGTAATTTTTAGGGGGAGTGCGCCCCCCGAAACAATGCAATTATTTTAGTCAAAGCCTTCCAAAAACGCCTAAAAACCAGCTTTTTTTGCCTGCTTTTGTTTCGTTTCCAAAATTTCCTGCAGCGCACAAATTTTAAGTATCCCGGGTTGACGTCCATTCAAAAAAGTACCATACAAAAAAATCATACAACTTCATATATGGAGTTTATGGAAAAACGCTTGTCATACAACTTTCATTGCGTACCTGATCTATGGCGGACACCATGAGTGCCATTGCATTTCCATTCTGGAAGGTGGCGAACATCATGGCCAGAGCAACATTGACCCACTGTGGAAACACATTCTTCCTCAGTATCACATTCACAGTGGACATGGCCAGAATAGTGGACAGCAACACGTCACACATGGACATGATGACCATGAGGAAGCCAGGAGAAGTGTGCAGGCCACTAGTGGTCCATACAACCTAAAATTTAATGGCAACTTTAAGAAGCTTAAATTCAGCTGATAACACTCGCCAACAGTTTTAAATAACAAACGCATCATTCAAATTGCCACTAGAATATAAGCACTTATCAAAAAGGAGCAAAAAATTCGAAGTGGGGTTTCTTTTCTTGGTGTTCCCACCAACCAGATATGAAAAGAAGGATAGCCGGTTACTGTGCAAGTAGCAGAAAATGTTAGCATACAACATAAGCATAAGTAAGCTAATTTAAGCCTGCTCACTCGCTCAAAATTAGACGAAAAATCAAAAGTTTCAACAGGTTTTTCTCGACACCGGGATAATTTTTTGAAATTTTTTGATGTCGTTCGAATCACGACTAAAAGAGCTTTAATATGATACATCACTCAACCCTGTCTGATGATTATTTGTGGTAGCTGATGTTGCGAGGAAAACAAATACTACAAAGTTCCTCCCCATTTTCAATGGTCAGAACAACCAGTCCTAAGACATAATCAGTTATTCGTCAAGTTTTGTATGAAGAAAAAATCGAATGTTTTTGAAATGACTAAGTTACTGTATTAACTACATAACACTCCGACAATGTGACTGAAATCTGCCCAAAAAGTTTGCAGAAAGATAAACAGATTGTTAGGTCATTGGTAAAATGCTCATGGGGACATAATTATTCAATTAAACCAGAAAAAAAGATAAATTTCAAATTCGTATATAATAAGGTTAGTATTATTTCTAAAATTTATCAAAATTAATTACTACTAATTTTTAAGTGAGTAGTAATACCATTATGGAGAGAAGTGAGCTGCAGCTGATGACAATTGAGAGGGTGACATAGAGGAGTGTCTCCAGTGCTATGATGAGGACACTGTTGTTGTTCACATACCATCCTCCCCCATACGCGCCCCCTCCCCCTCCCCCTTCTCCATCTCCACTACTGTTACCGTCTATACTGCCATTGGCCAGAGGGGATGAAGCTAAAATTAGAAAAAATACACAGTGACAAACTGTTGACAATACTCGCTCAGGTCAAAGAATCTAAAAGAAGTTTAATTAACCTAATAAAATTGTTTATTTTGATGCTATAGATAAAAATTTCATTGCGTTAAAAAGATCAAAATATTTAATTTACTTAAAAACTACTATTTTTTGAATAGTCAAAAGGGCAAAATTGACCATAGACGTAATTTTGTCGACTTTTTTGAAAGAAACATTTGACTAATTAAAGCATAACCTATGGACCTAAAAGTCATAGTGATGAAAAATCAAAAGCAGGCCGCTATTATGACGCATACTAGCGCAGGCGAATATCAAACAAACAGATTTGAGCTTTCTGATAAGGATATCCGAGAACGTATTTAGGGACTTAGCTCCTCGGTAATCTGAATCATGAGAACGACATACCAGCTGTTTCGCTTATTCATGACTGTTGTTTGATAATTCCTTGGTTCTGACATATCCCTTTATCTGATGGTATTATTAAAACAAGAATAAACGGCTTTGGTGTAAGTAGCACAAAACCCTCCGACCAAAGCTATAATTGCAATAAAAACAAAACTGCTCGTATCAGGGCGAAGCCCTGAATGTTCCGACTGCCTTTTAGGTTTATGGAGCAGTAATAACATAAAAAAATTAAATGAAATAAAATGAAATGAAATTTTTTTTTTCTAAAATTTGAAAATTTTTTTAATGAAAATCATCCCCCCACACGCCATATAAAGTACAAAAGGATAGATTTCGTTCCTTGTAACAAATCAATTATGGCAAATAAGCTTCGTTCAACCAATTGGAACGATTTCTAAGACGGATTAAATCTCCGCTTACGCGTTAATAGCGCGAAGTATATCGCGCGTTAATTGTCCCAAATTGGTCAAAATGGCAATCTTTAAACCCCCATAACTTTACGAAAAATGATCACAGGTGAAATGTTTTTTCAAATTTAAGCTCAGAACAACAATAGCTTTTGAATGATGTAAAAAAAATTCCGTCAAAAATGGCTAGTTAAAAAGTCGAAATTTGTCTGAAGAAAAAAAAAACCACCCCGAGCACAAATATTCCGTTACTTTCGTATCGAAAGTCGGAACAATAATTTTAAAAAAAATTTCGAAGTAATTTACGAAACTTTCACCTTCGAAAATAATTAAGAAATTGAGTTTTCTATTCAAAGTGAGATTAAAGAAAGCCTTTAAACATATACATGAATCGCTTCTGAGTTTGTAAGTAAAACTGGTGCTGAGATAAAAACAGCAAAAATTATGTCTGAACAGCACAAGTTACACCATTTTTTCTCGGCACTGAGAAAAATGTTTTTGAGTGTTTAAAAAATTCTAATGACGAAAAAAAGGGTTATGTGGAACCTGATCTAAACTACATTTTATGATTGGATAAATTAGATATTTTACCAATGTAAAGTATTTAATATTAACCAATCATGATCCATCTAACTAACAACCCACTTATTTGTAAGTGCTGAAGTTACTTGTAATTTCAGCACCAGAGAGATTTGAATTTAACTTAGAAATTAGTTGGACTCTCCCGAGCACTTCAGCAGCCGCAATAAACCAGTATACCCTAGATCTATTGAGCCTAGCAGAGACTAGTTAAACAACCTGAGACTAGATAGTATAAGAGTAAGATTAGGATCGGTATTAGACTAAGAAGTTGCACGAATCTATCCGGCCGAAAATAAGATAGCGTGACGAGCAGACGGTGTACCCTATCCGAAATTACTCTATGAGTTAACCAACTCGGTCCTAACTCATCTGGTGCGACCATAAGTCTCGAACAAGACCTTAATAGCTTAGAATTAACCAAAATAGATTAGAAATTAGACAAAAACATTTAAAAAAAATGTTATACGACAATAATTTAATCGAAATGTCTCTACGACTCAATAGATCAGAGCCAATATTCCGAACCATAACAGAACTACCCGGAATTGGAAGAAGACCTCGAACCAGAGACGACATACGACAAAGTAGAAACTTGCCATATAGCTATATGATAGTTAGGCAAAAACCAGAACAAACTTTTATATTTAGAATACTACTAGCAATGAATTTAGATTTTCATTTGCAAACATAAAACCTTGAAGTTAATCTTCAAAATCATTTCAGGCGCTAAACAAAATTATTAATATACAATAACGATTGATAAAAAGATCTAAGATCGTTTTCCTAAAACTCTGCAGTAATATACAAAACATGTTTGAAAAATATTTATTGAAAAATAAAAATAAAAATTAGTAGCATGACAATAAATGGTTAGTAATCATAAATCATCCTGTTGTTCCAGCTCCATCATCTAAAACATAACAGCAATTATAAACCCACTAATATCATCAAAACACTAAATCTTTCCTTTACACCGTTTAAAATTTTATTAAAACTTAAATTCACTTAATTTTAAAACCAGATCATCAAGGCTTATCCTTGGATCTTAAATAATTTTCTACTTAATTAAATTTTAAATTTGATCACCAAGGCTTATCCTTGGATCAAACAGAACAACTTTGTTCTCCCCCATCCACTTAATTAGTGTCTAACGACCTCAAACGTCGATTCACTACCCAACCCTTTCTAAAGACCTAAGACTAATAGAAATTTTTAAACAAAACTAACCAACGCAGCTTACTAAATACCACAAATCATAGAATAACAGCATGACTAAGAAAAGGAAACCAACGGTACCCAAACCGGATTAACCCAGTTTAAAACTGGATAATTTATTCTTTTGAAGACTATTATAAAGTCTAAGAAAGAAATAATAAAACACAAAAAAGTCGAAAGACAAACCCATACCACGAACAATTTGCTTTTTAGAAAAAGGACATAACCAACAAGACATAAGAAAAACCACAACAAACCCAACATAAAACGTTGTCACATAACAGGACCCCTCATAAAAACCGCATGAAATCATACTCCCACTCCTGGCCTAACCCACCAGGAAGGACGTCCTGAGCATGCTCTATAGCCGGCCTAACCCACCGCGCTACATCCACGCTTTGTGACCACACCTCTATTTTTAATAAGAGCTACTCAAGTGTGAGTAACTCTTCAAAATAACCGAACTAAAACAAAAAGCTTTTGTGAAAACAACTAACTGAAATCATAATTAAAAAATATTAAACTAATAAATGTTTTATAAAATGTAAATTACATTATGCAATACATAGATCAGAATACAACACCAAGGACGAACATCTAAAGACAAAACAACCCCACTACACTCGAGAGAGAATGACCAACCACAATCGATATGCCACTCACAATCACCACTCAAAGGATTTAGAGTACGACTTGACTTCGCAGAAAAGGACTTCATTGAACTAGACCAATGACCACCTCGATGTTCAAGTATACGTACAGATCCGAGTAACCAGGCATCCCCTCCACGCACAATCTCCACGCCATTCCCAAATTAGATCAGACACAAAAGAAGTTCTCCACGCAGAACAGAAAAACCTGACATAGCCAACCATTCTGAAATCAGATTTGAGTTTGTTGCAAAGACTTAGTCGTTGTCACTAGAAGACACAACGTCTTATGTCTCTAACTCCAGCTTCCTGGAACTTCTTTAACAAAGAGGAAACGGAAGAAAATGATGTTCGCCAAAAAAACAAACGTCCATCATCCATCCTTCAAATTGCAGAAGAACTATTCTAAAAAAAACTCTGTAAAACCCGGATGGGTGGAACCTGATCTAAACTACATTTTATGATTGGATAAATTAGATATTTTACCAATGTAAAGTATTTAATATTAACCAATCATGATCCATCTAACTAACAACCCACTTATTTGTAAGTGCTGAAGTTACTTGTAATTTCAGCACCAGAGAGATTTGAATTTAACTTAGAAATTAGTTGGACTCTCCCGAGCACTTCAGCAGCCGCAATAAACCAGTATACCCTAGATCTATTGAGCCTAGCAGAGACTAGTTAAACAACCTGAGACTAGATAGTATAAGAGTAAGATTAGGATCGGTATTAGACTAAGAAGTTGCACGAATCTATCCGGCCGAAAATAAGATAGCGTGACGAGCAGACGGTGTACCCTATCCGAAATTACTCTATGAGTTAACCAACTCGGTCCTAACTCATATGTGCTAAGCTTCGCTATGACTTTCATTGAGCGAGTCATGATGAGCTGAAAAAATCCACCTTCGCTATAGTTCCTTCCCATTTTTAGAGAGTGGGGGGAGCAATGATGTACAAATACAATATTTTCATCATAAGAAAGATGTGTTAACCGGAAAACTTTGTCGCACATAAATTGAAAAAAAAATCTTTTAATGAGTAAGTATGTGGTTTTCAGTAAATATGCGCCTAACTTTTCTATCCTGGGCGAATCTGGGAGGCGACGAGATTTTGACCCTCTCACAATATCCATTTTCGACCAACCGAACTTAAAATTTTTCCAAAGGGGTCTTTTGCGCCAATGTTTACTAATTTTGAGGTAGTGCTCGCGCCGAAAAAAAATTTGCGTCAAAGTCTTTCAAAAAGGACCCAAACTCTTTTTGGCCTGTTTTTTTGACAAAATATGAGAGCTTGGCAAAAGAGCTTGGGAAATTAATTTGGTCGACCTAGAAAAGCCATCAAAATTTTTTTAAAGCAATTTATTTGAAAGCCCCCCTCGCCACCTATATAAAACACTATAACAGACAAGCGTCTATGCTGCAAGCGCCTATTTCATCATAGTATTTATTCTTTAAGGACAGCAAATTGGTATAAAAACAGCTTATATAATTCGCTTACCATTTTGATAGGCGAGAGATGACACAGTAGATGACAATTCTGATAGATTTTGAAACACGGAAGATTCGATCCCGGATTCCATATCCCCGGAATCACTCGCTATTCTTGTTGGCCTCCAATCGCGGCTTTAATCACACAACAATAAGTAAACAAAAACTCGATTTAGTTCCGCCGAAAATCAATAGACGTTCGTCTGAGTTTCGGGAGTCCCGACTGGATTTTTCCGGTCAATAAATGTATCATTTTTGAGTCTTCCGCATGTTCGGAGCATAACAGCCGTCGGAACACTCGACTCTTTATACTTAACTTTGAGTTCTATGAGTTCTGTTTGGCACGCTGGTATTCTTAATCTAATTTGAGTGCTACACTATTTACAGTTCGTTACGATTATTTTGATGATGTGCCGATTAAATTGAGATGATGGCGTGTGATGGTTGTTTTTCGAGCTCACAACAAAAGACTGCTAGAAGTTAAGAGCGGTTTGCATAACTTCATTTGGAACCAAAAGACCGCCACAAATTAAACTTCAATAATAAGTAATTCTGTGTTACAAATTCTTCAGTACGATAGAAGTCGATCGATTTTTTACGCAGAGAGAGTTGAAAAATATCAGCTTCTTAGTTGATTTGTTTTGAGATATTCGATGTTGTTGTTTATAAATCGCAAAGGTTAATAAAAATTGCTCTCCTTACTATTCTCGCTTTTCAAAAACTATGACAGAAAACAGACAAAATCAAACACGCGTTTTTTATTGACAAGAATTAAACAGATAGACTAAATTGGTAAGACTACAGTGATATTAGTGTACATAACTGTCTATCTTCAAGTTAAAAAACGCTTTGTAACTAAAATTTTCAAAGCAAGAAAACAGTAAAACAAACATTGATTATTGGTTGAATAAAAAAAGAAGAAAAAATGGAGTTCATTTTATATTGAGAAAACAAATGACGTTTTCAGTAAAAACCGGATTAAATTTGAGCACAAAATCCATTTTTACTTCTAATTCTAATAAAAACCCGTTTTTAGCAAAAAAAAATATTTTCAAAAAATGGAAGTAATTATTGGTAATAATCTGCTTCAAAACCCATTCAACTAGCATTGTCAAACTGAGGATAAATTTGATCAAAAGTAGGAATAAATTTGATCAAAAGTGGCTAATTTTGATAAGAGGTGGTTAAGTTTAATCAGCGGTGGTTATTCTGAGCGGTACTTAAAGCAATATTAACAAAGACTGACGTGTTTTAATCGACTGTCAATCAGTCTGAATGGAGTCTTATCGATAGCAGACGCATGATCGATCAATCAGGTTTCTAGGAATTCGGCTCGAACTCAATCAATCCTTCTATCATTACCACTTTCAAGGACACTTCAATAGAGAGAAACGCACTTATTCTCGCCAGGCGCGGATCCAGAATTTCTCAAGGTGGAGATTTTTTTCAAAGCTTTTGAGAAAAATTTTTTAAAATTCTTGCGAAGAAAAAACAAAACTGCCGCGAAAGGCGCAGTGTTCGCGGCAGGGGCGGATTTAGGGAGGGGGGGGGGGACGCTCTCCCCCTCAGGAATTCGACCCCCTGCCGACCCAAAAGGTCCCCCCTTTGTACTATTTTCCAATATCCATTTTTGGTGATGGACCCTAAAAATGTTCTAAAGGCGCCTATGGCGCCAATATATACTAAATATGAGGAGGGAGCGCGCCGAAAAAACGCGATTTTTTTGGCCTGTTTTTTTTTCAAAATTATGCCTGCGCCGCAGAAAATTTGGTCAAAACAGGGACAAAACAGTGCTCTGGGAGAGCTCGAAAAATCAATTTGGCCGACCTAAAAAAAAGGTCGACAAAAATTTCGAAAATTTTTTGAAAATCCGCCCCCCTCCCCTCGAGAAAATTCTAGATCCGCCCCTGGTTCGCGGAAACAATTGGGGTCTTTGGGGTTATACCCCCTTTTAATAAAAATAAACTTGCATGATTATTCTTTCAGGAAAGTTACTTAGGTACTATATGTGTGCAACTTTTTTCTAACTTGTGTTACTTAGCTTTGTCAGAAACGTGAAATAGTGTTCGTGTTTTTGAAAATTAGTCGCAATAAAACTTTTTAAAAAAACGCGGGGAGCATTTTGTTTTAGGGTGCGTTTTGGTTCGTGAAATATTTTTGTCGCCAAAATCCGGTACTACAAACAAAATTGAATTAATATCAAACTTTTGAGAGCAATTAGCTTGACTCAATTCATTTTCGAGTTATTTCTGGGTCGGCTTATTGTACCACTAACGCTACGCCCGGTTTTGCTGACCACGCCCAGCCCCCTAATTCAACGATCAAATTCTAATACCAAAGCTAAACTTTCTAAGTAGAGAACTTACCGATACACTTAAATTAGAGACACTCTGTTACCATAGATGGGCCGAAAGGCTGAAGCACAGAAGCGAGGAAACCTGTTTTTATAAATCAAATCACTGCAAGTGGTATAGATTTTTTGTGGAACAATAAACTGTCGATGATTGGTTCTTTTGTAAAAAAAAAGAAACCCTAAGAATAATGATAAGCATTTATTTTCAAGGGACAGATAGAATTACGATTACTTTTTAATTATGCATTCATTGTATATCATTTACATTTTTACCATAATTTGAGAGCCTTTTAGTCGGGAAAGATTGGCCAGCAGAGTGTTGATAAGCAGCAAACACATTTTTTCAAAGATGATATTTTTCGATATTTTCAGCAGCTTGAAAAATTTCAGCAGTAAAACCTAAACAAAGAAATTAAGTGATCACATCACTGGAGTTTCATGGATAATAATTGATTATAATCAGGAGCGGGCTTTGGGCGTGATTGTGGGGTGTATGGGACGGACGGCCGCCTCCTCTCAGGGATTCGACCCCCTCACCAACCAGAGGGTTCCCCCCTTTAGTATTATTTTATGACATCCATTTTAGAACGAACAACCCATGAACTTTTGTAAAGAAGCTTTTGGCCTAAAATTTTTGGTCAAAATTGGGCATTTATATTCCGTCCCATACACTTGCACAGGAGTGCATGGAAAATCAATTTGGTCGGACTAAAAAAGTTCGAGAAAATTTTCAAAAATTTCGCCCCCCCTTCGAGAAAATCCTAGATCCGCCCCCTTATTTTATTGGTATTTTATAGTCTCTCTTGATAGTCTCTCCTTATTATATTGGTAATTTATCAGTTAAAAAAATTTAACTGATTTAAACCAATTATTTTCAACTTGTTTTATTTCGCGCATCTGTGGCGATGGTGCTCAGCAATCAAATGATTGCGGGTTCAAATCGCACGTGCGCTGCAATTTACAAGGTGAGCTACTATAGCGATAGCTTAGTTAACCTTAAATCATTATGGTTAGGCCTCTGGCTGGTTAACTAAAAAAATGTGTCTTTAGAAAAAATTACTTTTTTGTTATTCTCTGACCTCAATTGGAAAATTTTGCTCCGACCATTGAAAATGGGGAGGAACTTTGTATTCAGGTGTGTTTTAGTTTTTTCTCTTTTTTTTGTTTTCCACACAAAATCAGGTACCAGAAAAAATCATCGCAATGAGTCGAATAATACATCATTTTAAAGCCCTTTCAGTCGTGATTCGAACGACAAAAAAAATAGAGTTTTCTCACAGTGTCGAGAAAAACCGGTTTGAAATTTTTGACGACTGAAAAACCGGTTTGAAATTTTTGACGACTACTTTTGAACTAACAAGGCGACCGTGTATGCTTAGAATAGCTTATTTAAGCTTAATTTAGGCCGTAAAACTTGGTTTCACTCAAATGAAGGTAGTTTTTGGAGCTTTTTAGCGCAATTTTGGGAATCAAATTTCAAAATTTGTTAAAATTTTTTTTCCTAGTCATTATTCTTCAAAAACTGTTTTCGAATTGACCTATTTTACCATGACTCTCAAATCTGCCTTAATTCTACTTTTTTGTTTAGCTCTTTTTATCACAACATGCAGAAAAAAAACGAAACCAATTTGAAAAAAAAAATGTTTGTATTTTTTAAAAGATTTCGGATGAAACATTCTGTTTCACTTGCACAGTAACCTGCTATCCTTACTATTTATTGTCTATACAACAGTTCAGACAGAGAAAATCCATGAAATTTTTACCCATGAAAATTTGGTGCGGGTCTATCAAAAAAACTTAGCTAGTAAAACTGAGAAACCTGAAGGGTAGAAAGTTATGTGTTGGGATTGGAAACTTTGTGAAAAGGCAAACCAGCTCATGAAACAAATTAGAGACAATCTACAGATAATCACAACACAGTTTATGCTCAAGCAGAAGAAATTTCTTTAGCAACTGCTAAAATTTTTCAAACAGAAATTGAATGGACTCAGTTTCACATGAAAAAAAGCACTCACCGCTAATTGCAAGTTTTGCGCGAGACAAATAAGCAAAATCTATCTATATATCTTTATAAATCCTGTTACCGAGACAGATAATTTGTTTTGATTAGTTGTTTATTGATACTTGCTGAAGTTTAACTTTTCCCGGTTTCTATACGTGCTGTTATGTTTTCAGCCAGCGAGCCATAAGTTTGCCCTCAAGGTTTTGCAGATTCGAGTTGAACTAATTCGGATAATTGGCGTAAGGTCAGTTTGAGGGCGAATAAACATTGGTATATCTAACCACGTGAAAATTGGACCTAAGGCGGGCTTGGTTGTCTATGATAAAGACAAACTAATAAACTTCTTTTACTTAAAAGCGGCGTGAAAGAATCTTTTATTCATTTCGACGACATTTTTGAATTAACACCTTCAGGATTATAACAAAACTCGAATAAAAAACCAAAAAAACTTATATTTTGAGTAATATAAATAGGGTTTTTAAAAGTCAACTTCAATGCTGGATTCGATTATGAATTTGGTATTCATAAACTGATTCATCAAGTTGGAACCTGATCTAAACTATATTTTATGATTGGATAAATTAAATGTTTTACCAATGTAAAGTATTTAATATTAACCAATCATGATCCATCTAACTAACAACCCACTTATTTGTAAGTGCTGAAGTTACTTGTAATTTCAGCACCAGAGAGATTTGAATTTAACTTAGAAATTAGTTGGACTCTCCCGAGCACTTCAGCAGCCGCAATAAACCAGTATACCCTAGATCTATTGAGCCTAGCAGAGACTAGTTAAACAACCTGAGACTAGATAGTATAAGAGTAAGATTAGGATCGGTATTAGACTAAGAAGTTGCACGAATCTATCCGGCCGAAAATAAGATAGCGTGACGAGCAGACGGTGTACCCTATCCGAAATTACTCTATGAGTTAACCAACTCGGTCCTAACTCATATGTGCTAAACTTCGCTATGACTTTCATTGAGCGAGTCATGATGAGCTGAAAAAATCCACCTTCGCTATAGTTCCTTCCCATTTTTAGAGAGTGGGGGGAGCAATGATGTACAAATACAATATTTTCATCATAAGAAAGATGTGTTAACCGGAAAACTTTGTCGCACATAAATTGAAAAAAAAATCTTTTAATGAGTAAGTATGTGGTTTTCAGTAAATATGCGCCTAACTTTTCTATCCTGGGCGAATCTGGGAGGCGACGAGATTTTGACCCTCTCACAATATCCATTTTCGACCAACCGAACTTAAAATTTTTCCAAAGGGGTCTTTTGCGCCAATGTTTACTAATTTTGAGGTAGTGCTCGCGCCGAAAAAAAATTTGCGTCAAAGTCTTTCAAAAAGGACCCAAACTCTTTTTGGCCTGTTTTTTTGACAAAATATGAGAGCTTGGCAAAAGAGCTTGGGAAATTAATTTGGTCGACCTAGAAAAGCCATCAAAATTTTTTTAAAGCAATTTATTTG